AGAGTATGATGCAGTTGGCTACTACGATAGCACATGTAATGGGCGATGCTCAGAGCAAAATGAGTGGGAGCAAAGAGGAAGAAGTGGATAGAAACATGCAGATGTTTCATAAACTGAAGCCTCCGTTGTTTAAAGGAGCTGTGAGACCCCAGGCTGCTGAGGATTGGATCCTGAGAGTGGAAAAGATTTTTGACAGCATGCAGTGTCCAGGAAATCGAAAGGTACCATTGGCTGTGTTCCTGTTTGAGGGTGAGGCAGAGAGATGGTGGATCGGACAACAAAGAGAGAAATTCCAGGGGAAGACTAATGCTGAGATCACTTGGGACGAGTTCACTGCAGTGTTCAGGATGTGGTTTATACCACCGTCAGCTCAGCGACAGATGTATGAAGCTTTTATGAGATTGGAGCAAGGCCGCAAGTCAGTGATGCAGTACGAGGCCGAGTTTACTGCACTTGCGAGGTATGTTGCTCATCTGATTCCTACTACCGAAGAAAAATGCTATAGATTTATGCAAGGATTGAACAGAGAGTTGAGGCATCCACTAGTACCCTTCCGGATACATGAGTTTTCTGAGCTGGTGGAGCGGGCCCGATTGATAGAGATTGATTTGGCGACACCGGTATCGAGGTACGAGGATACCAGGAGGAGGAGAGATGAGGTACGACGAGATGATTCTGGTAGAGACAGAGATAGAGAGAAAAAAAGCAGATACGATAGTTCGAGGGGATCTGCATCGGGATCTGTATCGCGATCTGCATCGGTAGTATCGTTTGGTAGTTCTGGAGCGTGCATTCACTGTGGTAGATGACATGCAGGTCGGTGCTACCTGTTGATGGGGCAGTGCTTTCACTGTGGACAGCAAGGGCATAGAGCAGCAGATTGTCCTCAGAAAGGACTGGGTGGAAGGACTGATTCTAGCACGGGTACAGGACACACTACAGGAAAATCACTTATTACCGGCGGAATTTTCCGGCGGCTTTCCGGCGGTCAATTTTTCGGCGGCTTTTCGGCGGTTTTTGACGTCTTATTTCTAACAAACTTTTCCGGCGGCTTTCCGGCGGTTTTCCGACAGCTTTCCGGCTGTTTTCCGACGGCTAATTTCCCCGCTAAATTTTGCGACGGCTAATTTTCCGCAAAATTTTCCCGCGGATTTTTCCGACGGCATTCCAGCTGCTTTCCGACGGTTAATTTCCCCGCAAAATTTTG